CGCAACCAGGTGACGCCACAAGCGCTGGCTGACAGTATAAACTGCAACTTGGCTGCTAACTTGGCTTATTGGCACTGCCAGGTAAAAGTCGCAACGATAGCTGAGGAGTAAATGGCACGCAACAAAATGGAAGAAAAAATGAAGAAAATTAAGAAGAAGAAAGTGCAACTATGCCATGGCTTAAACCTCAGCACAGAAGCTTACCAAAAAGCTGGTGAAACTTTCTTTTATGGCGCAGCTTGAAAAACTGTTGCTGGCATGAAAGACGCAATTATATTGAATGCAGTTTGATTAAGGGAAATAAAATGTTGGGAAAGCCATTAAAAATAGTTGCTTAATAATAATAACCATAAAAGTTCAGCTTGAACAAATACAATCTCTGTCGAGCATCTTAAATAACTGTATATTGTCCAGAGCTCAGCTATATCTAAATTGACAACAGTTATATTTTACAGCTCGCTCTGGCAAAACCTAAACTAAAAACGTCTCTCAAATAAAAATTGAGCTGCAGTTTTATCGTATGCCCAATATCTATGCACATCTTTTACAATGGCTGAAGAGAAATGGATTTTTGTTGCTCTCCTCGTTCCACTCACGCACTACTCTCGTTAGTCGATCTACAATACATGAGCAATTCACACTAGTTTCCCCCTATTTTCCACCTCGCGATTTTATTTCGTATTTATTTATTTTTTTTTTTTGTTGTTTCTGTATTTCTTTGCACAACCCTTGAAGCAATTTACGCGCTGGTAACGATTGCATTGCAATTGCTTGACCCACATGTCATAAACAATAAAATACATTAAAATATATACGCGGCATATGCGAGCTGGACCCATTTAAAACAGCACGAACAACAGCACGAACAATCGCCAACGGTCAATGCAATGCACCACAGGAGCTAGCTGGCTGGCTGCCTGACTCGCTGTAAAATTTAAACAAATTTTTGCACATTTCCTGTTACCCATTGTTGTTCATTCTCTGTTATCCTGTTCCCCTCTTCCCCTATTCCCTGTCCTCTGCTCGGCGGCACTCGAATGTGTGCTGCGTTGCACTTGCAGCTTGACACAGTTTTTAACCACACCCATTTATTTGCAATGTCAACGAGGCTGTTTCAAAAAAAAAAAAAAAAAAAAAAAAATATATATGGATATATTCGCATTGCTTTATAGTTGGGAGTGCCTAGCGTTAAGATATGCAGTAGCTGAGCTCAAAGCAAATGCAAATTGTAATTCAGTTATAAACAAAGAAATTCTAATACGCTTTAGCTGAAATTTGTCAAAGACTTCATTTAATTTTTAAGAAAATTTCTTCATTAAAAATATATTTATTTTGCTAATCGAAATTACTCAAAAATGTGTATTTAAAAAATAATTTTTTTTGCACTAATTTTCATAACATACAGATATTATTTTAATACGCTTGCAGCCGAAATTTTACCAAGAGTAAATTTATTTTTTAAGGAAAATTCTTCATTAAAATATATATATTTTGCTTATCCAAAGTGATCTCAAATATATGTGTATTTTTTAACTTTAATTTTCATAACAAATTTAAGATCTAATTTTGAAACAGGAAATAAGCCAAATATGGATGCAGTTTAGTTTATTAAAGAAATATTTGTATACATTTTTAACTCAGTATTTTTATTTTCAATTTTTTTATTTTTTCATGTTGCCTAAGAACTTTTTTAATGCTGAAAAATAAAATTGAACAATTTTTGAACAGCGAATAAGCCGAATATTAAAATAATCTGGTTTATCTTAAAAAAAAAATTATATAAATATTAAATTCATTTAAAAATTATTATTATTATTATTATTATTATTTTTTTTTTTCAACTTTTAAAGATCTTTCAGCGAGCTCTTGGTTTTTATGTGACCTATTTCAACTAGATTATTTATGGGATTCTATGTCTATATTTCAAAACCGTCTCTGCTTTAAAATTAAAGGGTATTCAGCAAATTCAAAATTTGATTTTGGCCATGTTTATTTATTAGTGTCGTCTGCTAATGGCTTCTACATGCAGCAGGCCATGAAACTTGCATGTAATAATGTGAGCAGCAACAGCAGAAGTAGGAGCAGGAGCAGGGGCAGTGGCAGAAGTGAAATGGGTATATCATGTATTTTTGATGTGGGCCAAACGTTTAGCTGCTCGAGGCGCGACCTTGGTGCAAGGACCTTGAACCAAGTCGCAGCTAATGCAGCAGACAAATGGAGAAAGAGATGGAAGGAGAGAGGGAGAGAGAACGCCTCTTTGCTGTCGAGGCGATAGCCGAGGCAACTGACAATTGGCTTAGTAGCTAATTAGCCATTGGCAAAGGCGTGGCGTGGGCAATGGCGGCACTTTAAATGAATTTCAAGTGAGCCAATTAAAGCCAAACTTCAGTTTATTTTTCTGGCTTGCGGCAATTTATTGGGTTTTAATTTCCGTTCTTGAAGGGATGCATGTGAAGCAACCGCAAGAGCGTGTGTGAAAATTGAAACGTCAATTCTGGCAAGTCGACTTGCTTGACTATCCCTCCTTTCCTCCCTCTCCACATCTCTCTCTCTCTTTCTCCCGCTCGCTCTACACTTTTTACTCTGAATTTGCTTCAATCCCTTGCTGCAGTCAGTGCATGTCGTGGTTCGCTTTTGCTGCCGTTGACAGTCATTGACAGCGACGAGGACAAAAACGAGTACCATATCGAACGGTTAGTCCAGGGACAGAGCGGGACAACATGCATGCTGGGGCAGGGGTGGGGCTAGGGTGAGAGTGAGAGGAGTCTCGCATAACATGCAGGCAATGTTGCATGCTGGGCTGCACTTAATGCTGACTCAACGCTATATAAGTTCTTATTTGCCAGGCGACTTGCCATGTCTTCTCTCTCTCTCTCTCTCTCTCTCTCTCTCACTCTCGCTCTCTCTCACTCTCTCTCTCCTCCCGCTACCCTTCTGCCCCTCTCTGCCTTTGTCATGTTTCGATACTTTTGCTTGGCTTCACAATGTGCGGCACTTAATTTGTGCTCTACATCGGTCATAGCCGACACTTGAATGCGCTTTGTCGAGGCGCATAATAATTTATGGAAATTGGAAAAGTCGCATTGAAATTCTTTTGATTAACTTTGACTTAAAGCTTAACTGACTCAGAATGTGTTTGAACTTAACTATTATTTATATAAATGCTTCATTTTCATTCTAACCAAGCTGATTGCGCTGTCTTTTATTTGCCCTGCCATACCAATGCCTGACCTCGCAATGCCCCGACACCATTTACCCCGCTGTCACGCAAAAAAAAAAAAAAATAAATAAAAAACTAAAAAATTCTTTAGCTGCTTTTTAGCACAAATCCTTTTTTGTAGTTTAAAACGCCTTGGACAGGATTAAGTTGCATGACTTTTTGCTTTTAACATTTTGTAAGCCCACATTGGTCAGTTCGCAGCCGCAGTTCCCTCAAACTCGACTCCCTTCCGGCCCCCTCCTCACTCTCTCTCTCACTCTATCTCTCTCCACTTTAGCGCTTAACTGCTGACTGGCCTGAAGCTGTCCAGAGCTCTGCTGTGATCCTTATTCGGTTCCTGCACCAGACACGTAGCTCCATGGCCAAACGTGCGCGGCATTTTCAAATACAAATACATGTCCGCATTTTGTAGCTGCCACCCACTTACTTAGCAGCGTTCCAATATAGCTCGTAACCCCTGACATCTAACCCGATTTAGCCCTTTACTTGCAATAAATTGTATTTGAGTTTTATTTCAATTCTATTTATTTTTCTCCTCCCCCTTACGATCGCATCACTACCTTACAATTTGTTGTGGTAATTTGTTGTGGTCTAGTTAAGATCAGTGCTGCTCAAGCTCCTGCGCAGAACAGTTACTATGTATGGCCCAATTGTTAATCTATTGACAGTGGGAGTAGCTCAGTTTTACGGCTGGCAACTGCAGCGCTTTATGTGCGGTAAAAACTTTGTTCAAATACCCTATAATTCTATGTTGCTTGATGGAGGGTAATTTTAATCTGTACATTATTCGAGATAAAAAACTTTTATATATATATATAAGGAAGCGTGAAACGATGACGATCAGAACTTCTGATCTAAGAGACCAAAAAAGCTAGTGAAGTATTAAATGATCAAATTTCTATGTGACTAATGAATAGTTCATTCAAAAACTTTCCTTTCAACATATGAATAACTTTCCCAATTTCTACTAAATCAAATAAAAATATATTTTTCAGAATATCAGACATATTTCACTTTAATATTTATGTACATATAATTAAATTCAGAATATCTTTTAGTCGAGCATACCCATCTTCTGGTTGTTGTTTTCTTTCCAGTTTTGTTAATTCGGTCAATATTTGCGGACGCACGAAATAAAAATGGAAAACTCAGCGGAAAAGTTTTCGCAGCGCTGTCGCAGTGGCGACCAAGTTGAGGAAAAATAATGAAAAAATCTATTTAACCCCTTAATGGCTCTTAGGCTAAAGTTTTGTGTGGTCTGTTTTTCTTCTTTCGTTTTTTTTTTTTTTTTTTTTTTTTTGTTGTTCCCCCGCTTTACTTATTCCTCTTTTTGTGCTGTGTGGCTTGTAGTTTGTTTTGGTCAAGAAGAGAAGGAAGAGCAGAAAGCGGCTAACTTTTGAACTATTTGTAAAGGCAGAGCACTAAAGTAATAGCATGTATATATGTATATGTATACATAAGCCTCTCTCCCTCTATATATAAATATATTTATATACATATATATAAGCAACAGTTGTTACAGCTGCAAAGGGAAAGCAATTTAAGACGTAACGTTTAAAGCTTTTACCCAAAAATATGTATGAAAAAGCAAGTTTGATATAAATATTCATTTGGGCCTTCATTATTATTATTATTATTATTATTATTATTATTATTATTATTATTATTATTATTATTATTATTATTATTATTATTATTTTTTGTGATATTATTGTTTATTTATATTTTGAAGCGTTTGCTCTTAGCGCTAATTATAAGTCGAGTTGTTTGCACAATTTACCTGCTGTTTAGTTTCCCTGCCACGCTCCACGCTCCAGTTCTTCAGTTCACTTGGATTCAGTTCTGTAAAGCATAAAGCAAACAAATTAAATTTTTTATTTTTTTTTTTTTATTTATATTAGTTTTTTATTTTATTTTCATTATTTGTGCCTCTTTTGTTAGATGTTGTTTATGCTTAGATTTGCTGGCAGCGAACTGAAGTTAATTAGCTTGAGCTACCTTTAACTGTTCTAGTTGAGAAATTCGGCAGTTTAATTAGGACTGTCTTGCTTATATTTAAGCTGGATTTTGAAGTTCTTAAGTTTATTAATGTCTTAATACTTTTATAGTCTAGGGAAGATATTGAAGGTGGAACGAAGCATCTTTAATCATATAATTTATATGAATTGATTTATTTCTGAAAGGAATGTATATTTTATAGGTATTTTTATCATAGCAGCATTAATATACCGTTCATTAGACTGCACTTCTGTGATTCAAAAAACTTGGCTTAAAGGGAAAAAAATGATGTCCACGTAGCCGGCACAAAAGCAAACGACTGACCATAAATAATCAAATCCTCGTACACAATCTGCAAACAGATTTTGCGTTTCTAATAAATTTCACTTTGCAAGCGACCAAAAAGCTAACCAAAAAAAAAAAAAAAAAAACAGAAAATAGTCTGTAGTATATATACTTTATTATATATATATATATATATCTAATAAAATGGAAGATTGGCCCTGAAGGCTGTCCACGCAAAAAGGGAAAAGCTTTTTGCCAGACAAGAAAGTATAAAAATTTATATTTATATTTATGTCAGGGCGATATATGGAATTTGTTGGCTTGGCGATTTCTCGATAGTAAACACTATGGGAAAAAATGTTGATATATATATACTCGCATATATATTTGTATATACGATGTGTAACAGAGACAGGCAGTGATAACAGACAGAGCGAAACGACAACAAATTATGGCTCATTGATTTTATAAGCAATCCTAGATGCCCTAAAATTGACTATTTGGAGCTTGTAATGGAATGTGGCGCACATTAAAGGTGAAATTGCTAATTAGTAAGAATTAATAGTCATAAAGGCAATAGACAACATTTATTTATTATAATAACCTATACAAAAAAACCTGCCAGGCAATTAAATTTTTTTTTTTTAGTTTTAGAAATACTTTAAAATGTTTGCTTTTGTAAAAAATCATCATATTAAATATATATAAATATTATATATTATATATATACAAAATGGAATTCAAATGAATGAAAAGTTTGTTATATAATCATAATTAAATGATTTTATATTTAGCATTATATATTATTCAATTTATTTTTATTAATTTATATTATTAAAATATTTTAAATTAACTCTTGTCTACTAAATATATAAAAATTAATATTAATTGATAATTAATCAAAACATAAATAATTAATATTTTTTTATTAATATATAAATATAAAAAATCTATGGAAGAGCATCACATGTTTGTCATATCAAAGTCAACTAAATTTTTTTATTCGATTAGGTTTGAGGTTTTTTTGTACGAGTGTGTGCGTGTCTGCTGTCAAGGACTTGGCCTCTTCTATATGCGGTGTGAAAATGTGGTTAGATGTCAAGAACATAATAAAAACGTTAACGTTTCGCTTGTTGAAGGTCACAAGACGCATCAGTCGAACAGCAGCTGGAATGGAACGCGCAGCGATTGCTCCAACTCAGCTACGAGTTTCGCAGGCGAAATTGAAGATTTTTTGTTGTCAAAGTCGAAAACCCTGAGGCCAGTTCGCTCGTGTTGGGCTATTCACAGATTTTGTTGTTGTTGTTGTTTTCTTTTGGTTTGCTTCATTTGTCTTTTTCTTTTTTTTTTTTTTTTTTTTTTTTTTTCGGCATAAGAACAATGTGAATACAAAACTTTCATTGCATAACAATAGGCGCAATGGCGTGCCACAAACAGCATTTAAATGTAAATACCTGCAGCTCGAGCAGAAAAACCACCAGCGAAAACCGCCGTTGGCCAAAAAGTGAAAAGTTTTCTGCGTTTTACAGGTAATTTTACCCCTCGCTACCTCTCACTTCCTCCATTTCTCTATCTCTGTCTCTCGCTCTCGCTGTCTATCTGTTCGACTCTTTCTCTCATAGCCTCACTCGCTGGTCGTTGGCACGTGAAAGAAAAAGTGCAGGTGGCTTTTGGTCTATCCGCGTGGCCAGCTGAATAAATAAACTTTAACTTTTTGCTGGCCACAACAACAACAAGCGCACGATGGGCGAGGGGAAGAGAGCTAAAAAAATCTACGAATCTGGAAAATATATATCTAAAAATAGGTAACAATAATAAATGAGAAACAGAAGCGGGAACAAAATATCAAATAAAAAAAAAGAATAGGTAACAAAGTTCTAGTCGGGAATTACCGACAGCGAATACTCATTTATACGGTCCTAGCGGTACCCAGATCCAATTTTCAATTTGCCAAACGTCAATTTTTTTTTTTTTTTTTTTGAATCAGTATACGATGTCATAGGAAATTCAGTCGTTCGATATTTTTGCCCCGCCCCCAATAACCAACATATTTTCTCTCTACCGGTTCAATCATAGTCTATAAGATACCCACAAATGTATTAATCTAGTTGAAAGTAAGACGGACATTACACAAAACTAATATACTCATTTTAATTTCGTGAATGAGTATAAAAATGTTACAAGAAAAGTTTTATTTATTATTTTGGTTGCAGTCAAAGCGTGAAAAATTTGTTAAGCTTAAAATTGTGTTTTTTACGGATCTCGCTTTTGTTTTTTATGGTTTTAAGGTAGCAAATCATTGCGAACAAATACATACAAGCTGTTATTTACAGAGAGAAAAAGAGCGAGCGAAACGAAACGAAAAGCAGAGGTAGAATGAAAGGTAATGCCAGCTGCAGCAGTTCAGTGCAATGCTTAGAGTATAAGAAGGCACAAAATGGGTCAACAGTAAACAATGCAACAACAACAATTAAAAAAAATCATGCTCTGGTTTGCTATGGATTGTGGTGTGAAAACTTTCTTAAATGCTTAAGCTAAATGTGCGATTCTTGTTGTGTTTTTTTTTTATTTTTTTTATTTTTTTAGTTTTTATTTTTTGTATAATATAATAATAAAAAAGTCTTTTCGTTGAATAGGTTAAGCATTGGAGATATATTTATTAAGTTGTCGGTGATTAAATTGGCAAGGAAGTTATGTATGTCATTATCTTTTGAAATGATTGTACATAAAATTGTCTTAGTATAAATTAATTTAAAAATAAAAAAAAAAAAGTTTTTTTCTAATTTTTGTATTTATTTCTTTTATTAGTTTAAAATTATTCCATTAGATCAAAATTTTAAAATATATTTCATTTTACAAAAAATGACATCACTTCTTTCATTTTCATGTGTTTTTACCTTGCTCTCTTTACATTTTTTATTGCACTCCCATAGATATAATTTCCATTAATTATCGTTATATGCAGCCCAAGCCAACAGCAGTACAGCTAGATTTTCTCTCGGCCACTTCTGTGAGTTTGCCTGGGCCGCTCAACCTGTATTTTCTCATTATTTATTCCCTGCTTTTGGGCTCTACCTTTTGCCTTGCCGTGATGCGCCACAAAATAATTGCCTACTTTTCAGGGCGCGAGGCACAGAAAACTTCATTTGAATGCAGGGATTTCCCTGTGGGAGCAAATTCAGTTGCCTATTACATTTTTTTTTCCTCCACAAGCTTCCATTTTATTTTTTTGCAAAATTATACAAATTAATTTGGGAGCGACAATTGCGGAGTTTTTAGCCCCATGGTCAGCCCCCATTTGATTCTTTGGCTGTGGAGCTGTGCCCATTTCGCGGGCAGCGCATTAATTATGCTCAAGTGTCCGCTGGGAATGTGGCCAACACTTGTTATGTAATGACTTTTGTAGCTCGATGTAGGCGTTAGAGGGGGCGTGATCGCAAGGGACGCGAAAGCGAGAAAGAGGGTGAATGAGAACGGGGAAACAGACGGCTTTTTGTCATCAACGTGTCGCGCTGTTAGACAAATTTGTGATTTGATTTAACAAAGTGAGCTGGCTGACTGAGGGAATTCCAATTTGAAGAGCCTGAACTTGTTAGAGAAGGAGATGACGTGAGAGAGAGAGAGAGAGAGAGAGAGAGAGACAGAGAGACAAAAGCCTCTTGCTAAATAAAACTATAGCGTTCGCAGGCAGCCGTGGTAAAAATTTATCGGCCCCGACAGCTGCATGGCAATATATCACAGATTTATGTCAGCATCATGAAAATACCATACGCAGATACAAAAATAAATACACACACACACACACACACACAATACAACTATGAAAATACGACGAAAGTAAACAGCGTGAAAAAAAAAACAATGGCAAACTGAAAGAACAACAAAGAGAACTGCAAATGTTTTTACGAAATCGAGCCAAAAGCGGAAACGAAAATGTTAAAGCTCAAAAGCAGAGAAAAGCATAAAAACAACAAAAAAAAAAAGAGAGAATACAAATTGGTGGCTGTGTGTGTGTGTGGATGTATGCGTGTGCGTGTAACTGTGCATGGGTGCGTGTCGACTTTTGGCAAATGGTAAACAAATTGTAAACCTTCTCAATGATTTTACATAGGCGTTGTTTGGTATGAGCAGCATAAAAAGTCAATGAAAGTAAATGAAACAAGCGATGCGGTTAAGGTTAAACGGATGACAACATTATAAAGTTCTTTAAAGACTTTTCATATTGGGGCTGGTTGCTATCTAAATGAGAAATCTGATACTTAAGCAGTCTGCCTCGACAATTTATTAAAATGAATAAGTTGTACAAAATATAAGATGTTTATCCTTTAAAAGTGAAAAATGTATTTGTGTATGTTTTTTCCTATGATTGTTGCCTATATATAGATAGACAAACGGACAGTGAGACCTAACCCTCGAACTATTCTGGTATTATACACATTGAAAATAGTGATCGTATCCATAACGTTAATATATCCTTGAACAGGATGATAATCAAATTTTTTAACGACAGGAGCTAAGGTCTTATATTATAAATATTTAAATATATCATTCTGCATTTA